CTTAACATATCTTGGTGGTTGCTTGATATAAACTTCTTCTTCTAGGAACCCATTCAAGAATGTAGATTTCACATCCATCTAATAAATCTTCCATTTATTTTGTGTTGCGACTAGCTATGAGAAGTCTAATAGTATCAATTCTCGCAACCGGAGCAAACACCTCCTCATAGTATATTCCTTGTATATGTTTATAGCCTTTAGCAACTAATCTTGCCTTATATTTTTCCACTTTTCCTTCCGGATTAGTCTTTGTCTTGTACACCTACTTGACTCCTATTGCCTTGTGTCCTTTTGGAAGACTCGTTAATTCCCATGTGTCATTTCTTTTGATTGCAAGCAATTTCTTCATTCATGGCCTTCTTCCACTTCTCTTCTTTAGCGACCTCTTCGTACATTATTGGATCACACTCCGCCATTAAATAGAATAAGGAGTAATCGAATGTTGTCCGCACAGGTTCCGTGGAATCATAAATATCATTTAGACTCGTAGGTTTTCGAGTGCTCCCCTTGAATTGTTGCTACTGCTGTCGCTTCCCGACGATGTTGATGGTGTCGATTCGGGTGTTGTTGTAGTTGGACTTTGTGGAGGAGTCTGGTCATCACCTTGCTCATTTTGTATGTTGAAGTCATCATCATTATCATCATTAAAAAAATAGTCCTTTAACTTCTTTATCTTCTTTGCTCCATCTCCAGATATCTGCTTCATCGAACTCAACATCTCGTGAAATGATCACCTTCTTGGTCAAAGGATTGTACAATCTATATGCCTTACTCCATTTCTCATAGCCAATAAAGATACATTTTTCTCCTTTATCATCTAACTTCTTTCTTTTTTGGTCGGGAACATGGGCATATGCAATGCATCCAAAAATCTCGAGATGTCCAATCTGCAGTCTTGCTATCGCTCCATGCTTCATTAGGCGTTTTGAATTTTACACTTTTTGTTGGACATCGATTAAGTAAATAAACAAGCACATAGAACGACTTCAGCCCAAAAATTTCTCGGTAAGTGCTTTCCTTTCACCATGCTCCTTGCCATATCAAGAATTGTGCAATTCTTTCTTTTCGCAACATCATTTTGTTGTGGTGTATATGAGGTCATTAGTCGATGAATGATTCCATTTACTTTGCGTAAACCTTCAAAAAACTTTGAGGTGTACTCGCCTCCTCTATCGGATCTAAGTATCTTCAAATACGCCCACTTTGTTTTTCTCGCCATTGCTTTGAACTCCTTAAATTTATCAAGAGCTTCTAATTTATCTTTAAGAATATACACCCAACTTTTTCTACTAAAATCATCGATAAAAGTAAGATAATACCTATTTCCACCAAGTGATGGTATATCAAATGGACCAGCTATATCCGTGTGAACAATCTCCAAAGGCCTTCTAGCTCTCCATGACTTTCTAACTTCAAAACTTTGTCTATGTTGTTTTCCTTTAATGCAAGCTTCACATAATTGATCCGGTTGATTAATTTCCGGAAGTCCACTCACCATCTTTGCTCTCGATAATAACTTCAAGCCGATAAATCCAAGATGACCAAACCTTAAATGTCATAACCATGATTCGTCTTTAATGACGGACTTCATGCACTTTAGCACTTCGTATGAATATCAAGTGTGAAAAGACAATTCTTTGTCATATCAACTTTAGCAATTAACTCTCCACTTCGTTGATGACGAGAGATCGACCCTTCGAGTGTATATCATACCCCTTTTCTAGAGTCGGCCAAGGCCGATGATATTGTTTTTCAAAGCGAGTACATAATAAACATCATGTATATACCTTTTTTCTCTATTTTTTAAGGTAATCATAAGCTTACCTTTGCCTTTAACCGGAATTTTTAATGAGTCACCAAAAGTAACTTCTCCTTGGATAGTATCATCCAAATCCGTAAACAACTCCTTACAACCACACATATGGTTATCGGCACCGGTGTCAAGATACCAAACATTTTTCTTGCACTCTCCATTTCCTCTATATGTTAAAAAAATGGCCGATTCAACTTCTTTGTCTTCTACTGCTGCAAAATGATTTGTTTCCTCTATCCTTGGTGCTAATCCGCATTCGTAATCGAGATGGCCATACTTGTTACAATTATAACATTGTAATTGTGATTTATCGCCTCGTTGTCGAAATCGCCTCTTCCTTGACTCGCTAGATCCTCGACCATGACCATATATTTGATAGCCTTCATTTCCTTGGCTTCTTTTGAAGGAGTTTGTGCTACGTCCTCATCCATCACGTACACCTCTCGTAACCACCTCCGTAGTTACCTCTCGTAGCCATCTTTGTAGCCACCTCTCGTAGCTACCTCGATTTCCTCGACCTCGTCCACAACTCGCTGCCGGCTTGATTGTCACCAATATATAACTTGCTTTGCAAAGCTTGCTCCAGATTACTAGTACTTTCATTCTGGTTCATTCTCTCGCTCATGAGCTTCGAAGAGAACCCACAAGCTCATCAATCGAGATTTGTGACAAATCTTTTGATTCTTCAATAGCGAGTAACGACATAATCAAATTTTCTTATCAACGAACGTAAGAGTTTTTCCATCACTCGACATCATCAAGAGTTTCTCTATTTCTTTTCATATCGTTTGCCACCATTTTCGGACGAGTGACGTAATCATTGATCTTTTCGAATTTCGCATTTTTAAGGTCTCAAATTCAGCTTCGAGTGATTGGAGTCGTACCTTTTTAGCCTTTTCGACTCCTTGAAGAGATTTCGCGAATCTCCCATGCCTCCTTTGATGTCTTGGCATCCGATACTTTCTCAAACGTTGATTCATCAACTCCTTGGAAAATGAAAAACAAGGCCTTCTTATCCTTTTTGCGTGATTCTTTAAGTGTCTGTCTTCCGTGCGTTTGTTAAAGATGCTTCGGCGATAACATCTTTGGGCTCTGTATATCCTTCTTCAACAATCTCCCATAGATCATGTGAACCGAGTAGAACCTTCATTTGGATGCTCCAGTTTCCATAATTTGAATTTGTTAATTTTGGTATTTGAGGCTAATTCATTTGTGCCATCATCTTGCTTGAAAGGAAGACACGAACCGAGCTTCGATACCAATTGTTGGAAGCGTGCTAGGCTTTAATTCAAATAGAAATATATTGATGATATAGTGATTACAAAAGAAATCTCTTCTCTCTCAAAAATATTCTCTCAATATATGGGTGTTACAACACTCTCAATTTTTTCTCTTGATAGCTGCTGCTATCTAAGTTTCTACTCTCTCTTTTCTCTTATAATCTCTCTACTTCTCATACATCTTTACAACAAACACAAGTTCCTATTTATAGACATGCTACACCGTCATTGAGGATTAATCTAGACAACTTATACATGACTTTAACACCTTATATCCTGCTGGAATTGTAGACTTTACAGCTCATGTATTTCATAAATTCCATCAACTTTGACAGCCCAATTCTTGCTGGAATTTCATCGACTTTTGACAGCTTATATAGCTGCTGAAGTTTGCACCTCCTTTGACCGCAACTTGCACCACTTGTACAGCTCATTTCTAGCTAATATACATCCACTTAATCTGCACCTCCTTGTACATTTTGGTGGCTGTGATTTGTTGCTTCATTGCAACGGGTTTGACTTCCAACAGGGAATAGACCTCATCATCTGAAATATAAGCAATGTAAACCATCAACTCCTGGAGCTTTGTAAAGCTTCATGTCAAAGAGAGCTACTTTGACCTCATCATCTGAAATAGAAGAGTTGAGAGTCTATAAAAGATTATAAGCTAATTTTGGGAATAGACCATGATATAAAAGTTCAATGTTTGTAGCCCACTCATCTGTGAATAATTTCTTGTAGGAATTAAAAATCATGGAGCATAACTGTTGATTACCACGACACCAATTTTGATCTTCATCACGTAATCTTCTAACTCGTGTTGATCATTTTTTAACCACTGTCATTGCATGATAATATTTAGTATTCCAATCGCCATAAGCCAGCCGCTCACATCTAGATTTTTGGTACCAAAATAGCTCCTCTTATTGAAAAATGTCCTCATATTCCTTTCTTAGCTTACTTTCAAGATGAGTAAGGAAAGGATTAGAGCTGGTAGATAATGCTTTTTCTATGCCAGAAAGACCAGCAAGTAGTTTCCTCTTAGCTTTGAAAATGTTCCCAGAACAATTTTTGTTCCACCGTTTAACAACAGTAATAAATTGTTTATTGGCTTTAGGAAATGAAGCATCAGAATTCCAAGCTGTCTTGAGAAAATCACCGAAGTCAAGTCTTAGTAACCAGGCTATCTGAAACCTAAAATTGTTGGGATTATGAGTAGGTTGACACTAATTATCAAGATGAAGGAGAAGGGGTCTGTGATCAAATTTTATACGAGGGAGATGATGGACTTCAGCATTAGGATAAACTAATTGCCATTCTGTGTTGCAGACCATACGATCAAGTCTCTCATGAACACTATCTCTTTGCCAAATATAAGATGACCCAATGAAGCCTAAAAGGCTATACTTTTGTAGCTAGTAAAACTTTTACCTCCTTTCTTTTATGTGCTATATAACATAGCATTAAAGTCACCCCATAGCACCCACGGTTCTTTAACATTGGCTACAACTCTTCTTAAATTTCTCCTTAACCGAGTCTGTAGATGACCCCTTGGATGAGCATATACTACGATAAACAAAAATTGCCTATTCTCATACTTGATTCTTATATGCTTGAATTGTTTGTGATTATACAAAAACCTCCACCAAAACATTCACATCTGACCATTAAAGCCAAATGCCTCTTGAAAAACTCCTTGCTTCAATTCGGTGGGAGTTTGTAAAACCCAACTGTTGGATGACAGAAGCAGCGTAATTCCCATTAATTCTTAACTCAAAGATAGCCAAGATTGAAGGCCGATGCATTTAGATTAAGTAACAACAAACCAATTTAAACATCTTATGTCTAACACCTTGACAATTCCACATAAGCTTCATTGGTTGTAGAAATAGGGGCAAGCTACAAAATTAATCGTTAGGAGTTGGGCAAGAGAATACTTGTCCTTCCTTCAATGCCCTAGCCATGGACTCAAAACCCAGCTTTTCATCTGCAAGAGTTTCTAACAGAACCTGCTGCAATTTGATGCCTTTAGTGTTGCTAAAATGTGAAACCTTGCAAGCTTGTTTTTGTATGGCGATTGTAGCTTTGTAAGGTTCTTTTTTTCTTCTTGATGGGGATGGGTATGTCAGCGGGTACTTCTACTTCAATGGGTATGTCAGGTGGTTCCACCCTCTCCATTAACGGTCCCTCTGTAGTATCGCTTATGATAGCCATTTGATCAGTCTGCTCCATATCATCTTCACAATCTTCAGTCAATACAACTACTATATCCTTATTTGTCGCAACTATCCTTGCTTTGGTTGACTCATTCTTGCCATTAATAGCTGCTGAGGTGATATTAGATTTGTTTTTAGGAACGGGTTTGTTGATAGTGGGTCGGGCTAGGGTGATGCTTGAAGAAATCGGGTTGTAGCTAGTGGGTTAGGCTGGTTTGTTGCTTGAAGATGCCAGTTTGGTGCTACTAGTGGTGGACTAGCCCGAGATGCTGTTTTTAGTGGGTTAAGTGGGTTATTTGTGGGCTGGGCAGTGGCTGCCTTGATGTATTTCAAGTGGCTTTTGTTTCTAAAACAAATGGGCTTGGTTAGGGTATCAAGGGGAGGATTTTGATGGTTGTGGCTTAGAGTTATATTTTGAAATCTTTTCCATTTCAGTAGCTTGTTAGAGGATTAAATCGAGATCCCATATTTTCTCTCTCTTAGCAGCTGATTTAAATCCCATAAAATCCTCCTTCCTTGATCTTTGTTTTAGCTTGGTTTGTGCATGAATCCAAGGCCCAAAACTTTCGTTTGGAATCTTGTTGACCAAGACAGTGGGATCGTTGGATTTTGGTGATTCAATTGTGGTAGTATCTCTAGTGATTTCCATCGGAGTAGAAATGGTGGCTGGATTACGAGATGGATAAAACAAGCTTCTGTTACCAATCTTTCCACAAAAGTAGCAAACTTATGGTAATCCTTTGTAAGTGACTTTCTGTATGATGCCATCGATCCATATTTGACTTTTAACTGGTGCATCCAGATCTATATCAATGGCTACCCTAGCAAACTTGGTTCTCATATTTGTTTACGTGTTGTAGTCAATCTTGATCGTATGGCCTATCATATCTTCCATAGCACATAGGATTTTAGGGTGGTACCAACCAAGTGGAAGGTCTGAAAATCTAACCCAAACAACTGCTCTTTTGATTTTGTTTTTGGAAGCTCTGAAATTGTGATCCCAAGGCTGAATCGTCAAGCAATGACCAAGAATAGACCATGGGCCTCCGACTAATGCATGTAGGTAGTCAGATTTGGTAGAGAATTATACCAAAAAGTAATCGTTCTCCATGTCAATTACCCTCTATGTACTTGTCGCATTCCAAATGGTTTTCAACCGAATATATAAAGCTTTGTAACCCATACTGCGACCGAGAACCTTGACCACCACTGAGAGTTCCCATGGTTTTTTTAGGCGGTCTTTGACTGACTTAGATAGTTCAATAGACCAAACCTGGTTTTCACCAACACAATAACGTCACCTTCTTCAACCTCAATGTCTTCAAGAGGGTGCCGCTCAAACAGAGATGCTAGCTTAGTTTCTTTTCCATTCCTGACCGCGTTCTTATAGTTTAATCCATGTATAGGCTAACGTGGATTCACAACGTGTACAGTGTCATGTTCTTTATCTCTTAATCTGACCTTTTTTGTACTTCGATTGAAATCAGAGTTCTTAGGGTTTTCAGACTCTCCAGTGGGGAGAGAATGTTGGGAGCTAGAGGGGTTCATGTCTATGTTAACGCATATACAAATTTTGACTATTCCACTTAAATTTTGATTTATATAGTAAACATTTGGCAATTATGTCTGACGTAAGTACATACCTCTTTTCTTACTTAAAAGCCTTTCTTTAGTTTGTTTGAAAAAGTAATTTTGAAGTTTAGAATAATGTAGAAATTAGTTTTTCAAAGAATTAGTTATAATTATTTTAGGCACATAAATATAATTTATGGTTAAAAGATACTCTTCAACGTACAAACTTCAAATATTTTGAGAATATTTTTCAGAAATGTTAGCTGTAAGGATCAAATCTTTGACCAAGAGCACAAGTCAACACTTAATTGGTTATGATATGATTATTCTTTACAACTCTAGAGTTGTTCTAGACTATTATAAATATAAGAGTTGTAACTTAAGTACAAATCATGTAGTTTCCTCTTTTATAAGAATAATATGATACTATATAAGAGTTGCCTTCCAATAGGTACTTAATGAAAAAAATTCAAGCCAATAGAATCTATATTTAATTTATTCAAGTCTCCAATAGATTAGAAAGTACGATTGTACCGAATCCCATTTAAAAGTATAATAAAGGTTTAATGATAAATTTTGCCCCTATTCTATTTCGATTTGAAATTACTAATAGAATCTATATTTGATTTGTTCTAGTCTCTAATAGATTAGAAAGTATCACTGTACCGAATCCCTTTTAAGAGTATAATAAAGGTTTAACGATAAATTTTGCCCCTATTCTATCGCAATTTGGTAATTTTGGATTCATAATATCAAATCGTGTAATTTGAATCATAAATTATTGAAGATTAAATAAATGTGATCCAAATTAATTATTCAATCTTCGTTACATATAATGGTCAATCCAATTGATCGTTACTTGTAATGTCAAAACGATATCGCTTTGACATTCTATCGTTAATTATGTTTTTTTATTAAAAAAAAAAATTTAACCCCCTATTCTTGAACTTTTTAAAAAAATTATAAAATATTATAAATATTTTATAAATTACATTAAAAAAAACATTTTATAAATATTTTAACCCCTAATTTTGAATTTTTTTATAAAATATTGTAAATAATTTATTAAAAAAATTTGTAATTTATAAAATTAGGAGGGCCAACCCTTAATTATTCTCATTTTAATCTATAAAATATATTTTTAAGGCCTAAAATTGTGTATTATTAATTATGTTTTTTTACAATAACATTTTATATAAAAAAAAATTTTAAGTTCAAAATTAGGGGTTAAAAATATTTATAAATTTTTTATATAATTTATAACATGTTTATAATATTTTATAAGAAAAAAGTTTTTTTAAAAAAAAGTTCAAGATTAAGGAGGTCAAAAATATTTTAAAAATATTTTAAAAAAACATAATTAACAACAGAATACCAAAACGCATCATTTTGACATTTCAAGCAACGGTCAATTTAATTGACTATTACATATAACAAAGATTGAACAATTTAGATAATATTTGCTTAATCTCTAATACTTTAGGGTTTAAATTATATAATTTGTTACTATGAGTTCGAAATTATCAAATTGTAAAAGAATTGGGCAAAATATGTCATTAAACCGTATGATAAACCGAGTTAGATTTAATTGTTACATGGCGACAAAATTATTGTCTTTATATCATGCATGCATACAAAATCACATGGCTTTCAAAAAATAAATGGCCATGAACAATTGAATTTTGAGAACTTGAACTAGCTCAATAAAGCTAGTTCTACATTTCTGACCAGTTTACTGGCAAAAAGAGCCATGCATGCGCATGCTTTCCTTAGACATTGCAAACCCTTAAATTAATTAAAAAGCAAGCATCCCATTGCGCAAATGCTCGTATTTTAAAGCCAGCTAATGTTTCTATTATGTCTATTAACGGATTAGATTGATACCCGATAATATTATATTTAAATCCAATTTATTTAGTAAATAGGTTAATTTTTTATTAGATTTTTCAAATATCAATCTATATCTCAATCTTCAAAAACAACTATAAGGATTCAATGGAGGACCATATATTGATCATTAAAAAATTTGTGTAAAAGAATATATATAATGTTTCATAAGTAAATTTTGAAAAGACATCCGAATATTTCATATACTATGTGTTTTTTTCAAAATTGATTTGAGAACCTATCTCATCACAGACTAATAAATAAAAAATAGATTGCAATATATAAAGCTAAGAATGGATCATCCACTATAGAGTTTTAAATTTTTTTTTTTTAATAGAACTCAATCTCCATTATGTCATTTAATATGGTATCAAAACCTTAAAACCCAACAACCTACACTACAAAAAAAAAAAAAAAAAAAAAAAAAAAAAAAAAAAAAAGGAAAATAGTGAGGGATTAATGCTAAAAAACCGTCGCTAAAATGTTAGCGATGGTATAAAATTGTTCGGAAAATCTTTGTTACTAAAACATTAGGGGTGGTTTTTATAAACACTTGTTAAATTAGCAACGGATAAAATACCTAATTCCGTTGCTATTTGGTAGTCGATTTAGTGATGGTTTTGTTAAACCATCACTAAATCCGTTGCAAAAACGAGATGATTTAGCAACCATTTTGTTAAACCATCACTAAATCCATAGCAAAGAACGATCGGTTTAGTGACTATTTTCTAAATCCGTTGCTAAAATCGTCGCTAAATTGTATTTTAGCGATAGTATAAAAACCATCGCTAAATCGTTACAATTTTTTTTTAATTTTCAATTATTTGTCTAATAGGTAATAAGAAATTATAAAATTCATTTCAATTTAACAAATACAATAATGCAATGAAACAAATTTATAAATATTATGAAACTCGTATAATATATAAAATTAACAAAAATGAAAAATATATTTAAACATGAAAAATATATTTAAACATGAAATTATTTTAAAATTTATCGATATTTCTAAATAAAAAAAAAAAAAGAAAACATAAATGCTAGGAGCGATCGATGGGATCGTGGATCGGAGGATTAGTGGGATCATCAATCCGAGAATCAATGGATGAACTATCTCATTGCATATTCAAGAACATCTGTTGCATTTGTCACATCATCGCATGCTTGCTCCGGAGTATACTTTTACAAGTCGATTTGTAGTAGCTAAGAGCAACATATATATATATTTGTTATTTGAAATTATTGCAATATCAATAAATATTTAAGTATATTTCTTTTAGCATAATGAGTTGGGTCGAGAACCCAATAGCCACAAGGTTTTCTTGACACACACACACACACACACACACACACACACACACACACACACACACACACACACACACACACACACATATATATATATATATATATATATATATATATATATATATATATAAGATCTACAATGCGTCTTGCGTGCTCTTTGTGGGTGATTGAACCCCTTATATGTCTAGATGGGTCGGCTCCGATGCCACCCATCTCGCTCTTACGATTCACGGGTTGTCCGCTCGGATCGAGCACTGAAGACTCGAGTTTGCCCATTCTTTATGTCATGCATCCCATATCTCCAATAAGATATATGTTGGTTTGGAGTGTTTCTTTATTTGATAAAGGAAGTCGAATATCGTTTTTGTGTTAGACTCTACCATGCTTTCTTCATATTTATCTCGATACGCTACTCCTACTTAAAAGACTTCTACAAGAATGTTAAAAATGTTCATTAGTATATTTAACTTAAAATTAATGTTTTTTAATTGAAATGCCGAGTCACATGATAAATTAAGGAAAAGACTATCTCAAACTCTCTTCAATATAACTTTTTAGCGTCCTCACTAATTGACTTTCACGTTGATCCAAATATGTCTACACGTTCACAGAATGTCTTAAAGATACGACAAGTGCAAATATCAAAAGGATATAAGTCATCAAACAAGACATGAATTAACGAGTTAAATGAATGTATAAACATATTGATATACCAAAAAAAATATTTAAAAAATATATAATACTTACTCCTTGCCATTAATAATAGTAAGCTGCAATGCAAGGTTTGAACGTAGATCTAAAAAGTGCGAAGCCAAGCTGGAAGGGATGTTTGGTGATGAGCCATGTTTAGGAACATGACGAGTCATCTTATTAGGGCGAGAGCCACGATGACAACAAAGGTTCATATAGGCATGGACATAGAGGTCCATGATTATATGGCTCTAGCTAAGACATGTCAAACATTGATAGGATTAATAAGAAGGGATAAGAAGGGTGATAAGTAGACATTTCGACATGAGGGCCATCCGATCTTGAGTGAAATCGGGACTACGCCCACATCCATAGTCATCGCCATCATCGGTGTCTAAACCACGACCCTCACCATATGACGAGCCACTACATGTGGACAAGGCATAATCTACACATTAAGACATTAATTAGTTAAACTATTGATATTAATAGAAACAAGTTGAAATATATTTATTTTGTAATAATTAAGTTTATAAAAAAAAAAACACACATACATACATAGATACACACACACACACACACACATACACATGTTATGTTACCTTCTTAATAATTTGAAAAACAAATATGGAGGATAATCAAACCTTATCACTAATCACTATCTCGACTCATCATTGTTACGGTGTTCATCTTAGTCTTCCTCAATATCTATTTCAAATTTAACTTCATTCTCTTCATTAATTTTACCCTTTTTTAAATCTATTAACAATCCAATTAGATCGGTTAACGATCGACCTTCGTCATCATCAACTTCGATGATATTGTGTTGGGCTTCCATTTTGTTTTCCTAAAATAGTTTCTTAACTCGTTTGGATCATAACAAACGATTGTGGCACGTCCACCACTCGGTTGGGGTTTTACCTTACATAAAGCTAACTAATCACACTTGATGCACTTTTGATGTAGGATGTGTTGTATAATATGTCTAATGCACTTCGTTACTAGGATTAAAGGATCGGATCTATTCGACATCCTACGACTATTTACTTCTACTAGTCTATACTAATCATGAACTCTTATATCAACCCCAA